ATCCATGAATGATGTTATTACAGCCACTGACTATTCACATTATTATAAATAAGTGAGTGGCCAAGAAATCACACCTGAGGAGATGCAAATGCTACCCAGACAGGGCTGTTACCTGTAACGAGCGTCCCTTGGCGTTCGCTCACTTCCTTGCAGTAGCTGCTACGGGGTATCCAGTCCACTGCATGCTGCTGACCAGCAGCCTCTGGGCAGGAAGTGGATTCTTTTTTCAATTCAAAAAGATCCGCCTAGTCTTGTTTGCATGAATGAGAGTGTGGCTCACAAACGTGAGCTTGTTAAAAAGTCAGATGCCTGGTACAATGATCATTATTTGCAGATGACATGATTCTAGACCTGAAAGTTTGGAGAAAATCAAATTTTAAACCACAAGAAACAAGAAGAGAAATTAGTATATGACTTAGAATTTAACACTGGGAGGCCAACCATAATCCCAGCACTTTGGGAGGCTGAGGTGGACGGATTGCTTGAGTCCCGGAGCTGGAAACCTGTACAATATAGCAAGGCCCTATGTCTACAAAAAATTAAAACATCAGCCAGGCGTGGTGGCATATGCCTGTGGTCCCAGCTACTCTGGAGGCTGAGGCAGGGGGATCACTTGAGCCTGGGAGGTCGAGGCTGCAGTGAGCCAAGATAGTGCCACTGCACTCCAGCCTGGGCGACAGAGCCAGACCCTGTCTCAAAAAGAAAAAAAAAAAAGATTTTAACACTGGAGATATGGCAGCCAGAGCACTTGTTCCAGCTTCCCCATCCCCACCCAAGTTTCTAAACATGACTGAAACAATATGTATTTTAAAATCTGCAATAGGAATGGAAACTACAAAGGGATGTCCTCATTATCAGAAGTTGTAAGGACCGAATTGAATGTGAAAACTCTAGCCATAAGATGTGTTCAGAAGAGAACACCTGAAGGCCGGGCGCGGTGGCTCATGCCTGTAATCCCAGCACTCTGGGAGGCCGAGGCGGGCAGATCACCTGAGGTTGGGAGTTCGAGACCAGCCTGACCAACACTGAGAAACCTCATCTCTACTAAAAATACAAAAAATTAGCCAGGCGTGGTGGCGCATGCCTGTAATCCCAGCTACTCAGGAGGCTGAGGCAGGAGAATCGCTTTAACCCAGGAGGGTGCCATTGCACTCCAGCCTGGGCAACAAGAGTGAGACTCCGTCTCGGGGAAAAAAAAAAAAAAGAGAACACCTGTGAAGGGAAGGAAGAAGGAAAGGAAGGAAAGGGCCCACTTAGGGACTTAGGGATGTGCTGAGTCCAGGGGAGGAGGCAGCTGTAGGTGACTAGTGGGTGTGGCAAGGATTTGCTCTGCCCCTACTGCCAGGAGGTGGCAGAGGGACCCTCCAGATGAGGACACGGGGCTCATTTCCTTCATAAACAGCCCTTTATCAATGAGATAAAGCCCAACAGCCCAACAGAGAAAACAGGGGCAAGGAGAGGAGACTGTGGTTCACAGAGAAATCCAAGTAACTAATATCATGAAAAGATTTTGGATCTCACTCATAATTAATGCTAATTAAAACAACAACAACGCTGAACAATACACATTCACCACTGGCAAAACTTTTTAAAGATTACTAATGCTCAGGGCTGTTGAGGGTGTTGGGGAAATAGGGTTCTTCCAGCTGATGGGATGTAAATTGGAACAACCTTTCTTGAGGACAATTTGGCATCAGCTGTCAAACAGAATTACTGTTATTATTTTAAGACAAGGTCTTGCTTTGTCACCCAGGCTGGAGTCCAGTGGCTCTATCTCTGCTCACTGCAACCTCTGCCTCCTGGGATCAAGCGATTCTCCCACCTCAGCCTCCTGCGTAGCTGGAACCACAGGCGCACACCACCACACCTGGCTAATTTTGCAGTTTTTGTAGAGAGAGAGTTTCACCATGTTGCCCAGGCTGGTCTCAAACTCTTGAACTCAAGTGATCCACTTGCCTCAGCCTCCCAAAGTGTTGGGATTACAGGTGTAAGCCACTGCACCCAGCCTCAAACAGAATTACTAAGATCCTAGAAGAAAATATAATAAAATATTTCTATATTCTTGGAGAAGGGAAAAACCTAAGCAAGACACAAAACCCAGAAGCCCTAAAGGAAAAAAATGAACAGATTTGACCTCATAAAAATGTAAAACTTCTGTAAGGCTACAGACTATAACAAAGATAAAAGACAAATAATAGACAATATGTGCAACATGCAAAATAGCACTAAAATGCAAACAGCCCCTTCGTATCAAAGGATAAAACTTCATATTCCAATATATAAATGGTCAATGGATAAGAGCAGGCAACTTGCAAGAGAAGAAATTCAGATAGCCTGGAGTTGAGAAACGACCTTGATGCTCCCTGGGGATCGGATAAATGCAAATTTTAAAACAGACAATATCTAGAGTTGGCAAAAGGAAAGTAGTGCTCCCGTCAGCTGTGAGCACTATATGCTGTACGATCTTTTGAAGGGCCATCTGGAAGAACCCATCAACATTGCAAATGTGCAGATAAACTTCTAGGAATCTATCCTTTGGAAATACCAGCTCAACCCTACATGGATATGAACAAGTACAATAGGCCCCCCGCTTATCCTCAGGGCATACATTGCAAGACCTCCAGGGGATGCCTGAAACAGCTAATAGTACTGAGCGCTATATAGATTATGTTTGTTCCTATACATGCATACCTATGATAAAGTTGAATTTATAAATTAGGCACAGTAAGAGATTAACAATAATAACTAATAATAAAATAGAACAATTATAACAGTATACTGTGATAAAACTTACGTGAATGCGGTCTCTCTCTCTCTCTCTCTCAAAACGCCTTATTGTACTGCACTCACCTATTTTTAGATGGTGGGTGACCGCAGGTAACTGAAACCGCAGAAAGCAAAACTGCGATGTGGAGGGACTGCTTGCATCCTCCTTTCAGACCTGTTTGTGAGAGAGTTTTAACTGGAGGGCATCTAAATAATCAAAGAGTGGGAAGAGAAAGGGGTACTCACTTTTTTATAGTTTTGTATTGTTTGTAAATGTTTTCTATTTCATATGTTTTGTAATTCAGGCCAAAGGAGATAATGACAAACAGGAAAAAATGCTATGTGTCTAACTTTCAGGAATTTATTAGAGGGAGTGGAAATTCTACCACCTCCTATTGCTAAATCTCATTAAAATGCCCTTGAAATCAACCCAAACCAACTCTCAGGCACAGCCAGAACAACAGAGGCAGAGCAGAGCTCAGGATCCTGAATCTACACCGCCTAGTCGCTCCAGGTGGGAAGAGAGGAAGGGGGCTCGCTTCCCACCATCCCCATCCCACCTGCCTGGAGAGGCTGATGTGGGGCGAGGTTTCACTATCAGTCCACAGAGGGGACTTCATGTACACAATTCATTAACATTTATTGAGCACCTATGATGTGCTAGGCACTGTTCTAGGTCCTGAGGATATGGTGATGAACAAGATCCCTGCTCTCACAGCTTACCCAGTGGGTGCCTTAAGCAGGGAATAAACAAATACGTGAGCAAGATGACAAGACAATAGCAGAAAGCACTAAAGTTTTGGAGCAAAGCCCTGAACTCTGTTTTGTTTTTTTGTTTGTTTGTTTGTTTGTTTTTTGAGACACAGTCTTGCTCTGTCATCCAGGCTGGAGTGCAGTGGTGCGATCTCGGCTCACCACAACCTCTGCCTCCCGGATTCAAGCAATTCTCCTGCCTCAGCCTCCTGAATGACTGGGATTATAGGCACATGCGACCACGCCCAGCTAATTTTTCTATTTTTAGTAGAGATGGGGTTTCACCATATTGGTCAGGCTGGTCTCGAACTCCTGACCTTGTGATCTGCCAGCCTCAGCCTGCCAAAGTGCTGGAATTAACGGCGGAAGGCTGGCTGATGACATTAAGCAGCTAAAGGCGTGGACTGTCGAAGCCAAATAGCATCAGCTCTCTTTGGCTTCCCCAGCCCGTGGAACAGTCTTCCTATTTTGAGAATTTCCTACCTTATGAACTCACACCTGCTTATGATGGAAGCCAAAAACTTTCCCCATCTCTCTTGAAGATTGGGCACAGCATACTACTTAAGACACCAGCCGTCGGCTGCTCCTGCATGAGGCTAAGTGACACTGAGAAGCAGGTGCCTGGAGTCCTTTCTGTCAGGATGACAGCAGATCCCAGAGGCGGCAGCAGAGAGAACCAGTCCAGGTAAATGACCTCCGAGCCTGGTTCTCTGATTTCCCTAAGATTTTATCAGGCACCTCCTATCCTTTAATAGGTTCCTCTGTAGCTTAAAATCAGCTAAAGAGCAGTCTGTTGCTTGTAATTAAGGACTCCTACTTGTACACAAAGGGAGAAAGGCAATAATCAAACAAATTACTTTCAGATAGAGATCAGTGCTAGGAGGAGGTCAGCACAAGGTGATGTAAGAGAGAGTGACAGGTGGGGTGAGGGCTACACTTGATAAGGGGGTCAGTGAAGCCTCTCTGAGGAGGTGACATTGAGCTGAGACCCAAACAATGAGAAGGAACTAGCCATAGAAAGATCTGGGCAAGGAGACTTCTAGACGGGGGAGCAGAAAATGTAAAGGATGAGCTTCAGATGTTTATGGATGTAGGGAGGGTTGATGTGTTTGGAGTTTAGTGCAGGTGAATAAAGAGGAACATAATGAGATTGGAAAGTAGGTAGGAGTCAGTTCATGCCAGGCCTTGCAGATCATGGTAGGACATTTGGATTTTATTCTGAGGTTACTGGGAAGCCATTAGAGAGTTTTAAATGGGACATAACATAGCACGTGGGGTAGCTAGCCTTCAAAACATCCTCCAGTGATCCTTGTGTCCTGGTATTTACACCCTTGTGTAGCCCCTCTCACATTGACTAGGGCTGACCCGATAGGATGCTGCAAATGTGATGGTATATAACTTTCAAGGAAGGTCATAAAAGACATTGTGACTCTGCTTTGGTCTCCCGAATGTCTGCCTCTGGGGAAGCCAGCCGCCATGTTGTGAAGATACTCAAGCAGCCCTATGGTGAGGCACTGAGGCTTTCTGCCAACAGCCTTGTGAATGAGACATCTTGAAAGAGGATATTCCAGCCCCAGCCAAACTTTCAAATGGCTCCAACTCTGACATCCTGACAACTTCATGAGAGGCCCTGAGCCAGAACCACCCAAACTCCTGACCCATAAGTGTGTAACGTAACAAATGTTTGTTGTTTCATGCCACTAAGTTTTGGGGCAATTTGCTACCTCTAGCCATTGTTCCCAGCTGGTGTGTAGTCTGACTAGCAGGTACCCATGCTTTATTAGTGGTTTGATATTTTGACTATCGGCCCTGAGTAGGAGGAATGACATAGAGAGGAGATAGAGTTGTGAGTGAGAGGAGGCCAAATCGTGGAGTCAGAGCGAAAAGGAGCACCCTGGGTAGGGCTGAGTCACTTGTGCTGTCTGGAGGGAGGCGGAGCAAAGATCTGCAGCCCAGCTGACTGTGGTCTCAGCTTTTCCAGCCTCCAGGCTTTCTCCCGGGTTCCTAAGTCTATATGTCCTCACTGGAAATGCCACATGACTTGGGGTGACATGGGTGAGTTTTATTCCTCCTTCCTCCCAGAGCCATGCCAGACCTGATGCTGGAGGGCTGGGCTCTTCTCCTAGTTCCCCGTCCTGGGCTGGGCCCAGGGCACCGGCCAGTGGGGGAAACTGCCTTCTCCACCTCCTACGTGCACTGATGGTCACACCTCGCCCCACATCAGACTCTCCAGCCAGGTAGGGTGGGAACCACGGGAAGCGAGCCCCCTTCTTCTCTTGCCACCCAGAGTGACTAGGGGGTGTGGATTCAGGATCCTGAGCTCTGCTCTGCCTCTGTTGTTCTGGCTGTGCCTGAGAGTTGGTTTGGGTTGATTTCAAGGGCATTTTAATGAGATTTAGCAATAGGAGGTGGTAGAATTTCCACTCCCTCTAATAAATTCCTGAAAGTTAGACACATAGCATTTTTTCCTGTTTGTCATTATCTCCTTTGGCCTGAATTACAAAACATATGAAATAGAAAACATTTACAAACAATACAAAACTATAAAAAAGTGAGTACCCCTTTCTCTTCCCACTCTTTGATTATTTAGATGCCCTCCAGTTAAAACTCTCTCACAAACAGGTCTGAAAGGAGGATGCAAGCAGTCCCTCCACATCGCAGTTTTGCTTTCTGCGGTTTCAGTTACCTGCGGTCAACCACCATCTAAAAATAGGTGAGTGCAGTACAATAAGGCATTTTGAGACAGAGAGAGAGGGAGAGAGAGAGAGAGAAACCACATTCACATACGTTTTATCACAGTATACTGTTATAATTGTTCTATTTTGTTATTAGTTATTATTATTATTTTTGAGGTGGAGTCTCGCTCTGTCGCCCAGGCTGAAGTGCAGTGGTGCAATCTCGGCTCACTGCAACCTCCACCTCCTGTGTTCAAGCAATTCTCCTGCCTCAGTCTCCCAAGTAGCTGGGATCACAGGTGCCCACCACTGTGCTCAGCTAATTTTTGTATTTTTAGTAGAGACAGGATTTCACCATGTTGGCCAGGCTGGTCTGAAACTCCTGACCTCAGGTGATCTGCCTGTCTCAGCCTCCCAAAGTGCTGGAGTTACAGGCGTGAGTCACTGCGCCCAGCCTTAGTTATTATTGTTATTCTCCTACTACACTAACTCCATGGCCTGAACAGTCCACCCCTTTGGCTGCTTGACATCGTCATCCGCCGTCTTCCATCCTTGCACTCACAAACAACAGAACCCAACAGCAAGTGGAGAGATGTTTTTCAAAAAGGAAATAGTTGTGAAAAGAGTTCATGGCTTTGCTCCAAAACTTTAGGGCTTTCTGACGTTCTCTTTTTATCTTGCTCATATATTTATTCATTGCCTGCCTAGGGTACCTGCTGGGTAAGCTATGAGAGTGAGGATCTTGTTCATCACCATATCCTCAGGACCTAGAACAGTGCCTGGCACATCATAGGTGCTCAACAAATGTTAAATTAATGAGTTGTGCCATGAAGTTCCTTTCTATGTTTAATGGAGCTGACCTGTGTAGCCAATAGGGTATTGCAAAAATGACAGTGCATTTCACGAAGCCTCAGTTTCCATGGTTAAGTGCCTCATCCTTTGGTTATTCCCAATTTCAGATTCCAGAGAAGGGGAATATGATTGGCTCATCTCATCTGTCTGTACCAAGCCATGCCATAGATTACCAGATGGCCTATAAACTGGAAGCTTCAGGGAGATGTGTCTGCCTACCTTAGTCAGTTAGAAGTCCCATGGCCTCTCAAGACACTGTGGTTGACAAGTCTAGTATGATAGGATCACATCTTATCGGAGGAGTGATTCTAAAATCTCTATGTAAGACTTTATCCCATACAGTCAGAGTTACTCATGAAAATCCCTCAAATTACCCATACATTTATTTATTTACTTATTTTTTTTAATTTTTATTGTTTTTGAGATAGAGTCTCACCCTGTTGCCCAGGCTAGAGTGATCTCGCAATCACTGCAACCTCTGCCTCCTGAGTAGTTGGGATTACAGGCATGCACCACCATACCTAGCTTATTTATTTATTTATTTATTGTATTTTTAGTAGAGATGGGGATTCTCCATGTTGGCCAGGCTGGTCTTGAACTCCTGACATCAGATGATCTGCCCACGTCGGCCTCCCAAAGTGCTGGGATTACAGGTGTGAGCCACCACGCCAGGCCAAAAAACACACATCTTTAGACATGAGAGTCACAGTCTGCATAATGAGATGCTCACAGTATAAGAGGCACTTGGGAGACCCACTGAGAGAATAACAGGCTCCCATCACATCTCATTCTGGGCACACACTCCGACTAGAATGATAGGTAGACTCGCTGGCACTATTTAAATTGTCCTCTCCCCTCCCCTCCCCTCCTTTCCTCCTTCCTTCCTTTCTTCTCTTTTATTTACACATACATGCTACAAGGGTTTAAACATCCACTTGCTCTTGTTGGATTTACACATGAATTGCATGGAGGTCTGAATATAAGAGGAAGAAAATTAATCTGATCCCAGTGAGAAAGCCCTGAGCACAGACGTAAAAGAAGAAAGCAGCAAAATTGTATTGATAATCCTATTTCCTGAAATAGATCTCTCAGATGAAATGTAAGGAGATTTTAGAAAACAGCTATTACCTATTCTGAGGGAAATTAGACAAGGACAGTGCAGGGGGAACTGGGTGCTTCATCATATTAGATTGTCCCTGGAAGCTGAAATGAATAGGCTTACAGAGAACTGGATTATTAAGCAGAAGATAAACAAGAGAAACCTATGTGGCAAGTGAGGGATATTAATGGAGAGATGAAAAGAAAACAAGGGAAAATGGCAGGCATTTAGGATAAAGTGTGAAGATACAGTATGAGGGAAAAACACTTTAAGTTTCTGGATAAAATAAATCATTTTATTTATGGTGGAAGGAAATCAATAATCAAAAACTTGTTCTCTCTCACACACCACACACACACATACATACACACACCCACACACACACACCCCATTGTAAAATCCTTAAGGACAAAGAGCGTGTCTATTTTCTTCACTGCTCTCTCCTCAGAACTTAAAACAGTGCCAACCTAGCATATAGTAAGCACTCAATAAATATTTGTCAAATAAATGAACGCAAGTCTTTAAAATGAACTGAGATGGGTCATCTTGTACCAATTAAAACGAGACTACCGACCCTAAGCTATCTCTTGGGGAAACTCTTAAACTTGGTACAAAAATAAAGACTTATGACCCGGC